CACACACACACACACACACACACACACACACGTACACTCAACACTCGGACTGGCCGCACCGCTGCTGCTCCAATCCCGGCAAAAGTCGACCGAGCGCCCTCGGGAACGCGCACCCAATTCGCTCCGACAAGGCGTCCGACGCAGCGCTAGGTCTTGTCCCCAGTGCGGCCGGTTCCACGGGGTGTTCCTGAAAATAAAGCGGGAGGAAGGGAAGAGACGGATCGCGAAGACACCCGGGCCACATACGCCGTGACCTACAGCTCCTGCGTTCGAGCGGAGACGGTGCCCGCAGCGCTCGCGGGTGAGGTCCGCGCCGCCGCGGGGAAGACCCACCTGCCAGTCTGCGCTCAGCGGGTGCGGAAAGTGGGGCTCGTCGCCATCCTGTACTGTCAGTGTCCCGGCTCCCGGAGCCCTCTCTTCAGCTGGTTTAAAATTCAACCCTCCATTCTGCCGCCGACTCTTTGCGCCTTCAGAGTGTTCCCTGGCTACGTGGGGAGCCCACGACGCGCGCCGCCGGTACCTCGTCATGGCTGGGGCGCGCGGGCTATTCTGTCTGTGGCTGGGCTGCTTCTGCCTGAACCTGGTTCGGGGAGAAAGGCTGAAGCAGCATTTCCCGGGGCTCCACAAACCTGTGCCAGGTCACCGCGCGGCAGGTGGCAGCCCGAACCCGGAGCTGCAGCCGAGAGACAAGGTGTCGGAGCACATGCTGCGACTCTATGACAGGTACCGCGGCGGCGGCGGCACGAGCCCGCGGGCGCACACGCCGGGCTCCCCCGAGCGAGGCTCGCAGCCCCTGCGCCCCCCGGTCCTGCGCGAAGGCAACACGGTCCGCAGCTTCCGAGCCGGAGCTGCAGGTGAGTGCGCCAGGCGACCCCCACCCCGCCTGCCCAGCTTCCTCCTGGTACCCCACCGCTTCCTTATCTGCCCCCTGCTCGGGTGCGCTGCTCAGGGACCTGTCCCGCGCTCCAGCTGCCCTCCGGGGCTCTCTGTCCGGCCACGTCCAGCTTTTCACTAGCCGAGTCCGGGTAAGCCTAGTTCTCCAACCTACAGTCAGAGTAAGTGGGGAAAAGCGGCGGAGGGTGTCAGCGGGAGGGCCTGCGGGGAAAGGGAAGGGGTGACCTCCGCCCTTGCCCGGAGGAGCCCTCCTGCCCCGGGGGCCGGGACCACCTCTGGAGTCCCTTAGTCCGTTGATTCCTTAGTTGGACCGCGGAAATGCCCCTGGGCTCCTCTTTAGCCGCCTTTACCAAGAAGTAGATGCCATTTGATTTATGCCAACCCCCCCCCCCAACCCCCGGCGCTGAGGGGACGTCCACTATAACTAGACGCTTTCCCTCTCCTTTTAGACAGTAACTTGTGAAAGGTGGATCTTGTACCCCCTCTTAACTCGCGCCTTCGTGCTGCTATGATTTGACACGTTCTTCTTGACAGTTCCTTGATAGTTGGTGCGGCAAACACACAAACAAAACCCGGTGCTTTGGAGTTGTGCTTATTTAAAACCCATCTGGGCAAATAGGGGTCGTCCCATCCTTCCTGGAGGAGCGGGGAGAGCGCGAGGAGCAGCCGCCAAGGGTGTAAACACCTCCTGGAAGAACCCATGAAAATCTGCTCATCCCATTTTTCAGCACAGATCACTGGGGACTGAAATTCATGACCTGGCAAGGTCTCTCCCAGCCCCTGTAGCGAAGCAAATATCTAATGCTAGCAGCCTCTCCCGCTGTGCTGCCAGCGTAAGGGAAAGTTTCCCGGACACTAACTCGGGTGGGAGCTGTGAGGACGCACCAGGTTCTCCTTCAGTCCGTTTATGATAAAGGGAAATGTAACTGTAGAGCCTTCTTCAGTGAACGGATGAAAAATAGCCCAGAGTCTTTAAGGAAGGAGGCCATGCCTGAATCACATCTGTCAGAATCACTAGAAAGAAATGTCCCAAAGTTTTGATATGTAGGTCTCCTGGAGAAAAAGAAAACTAAGGCATCCGTCAAGGAAAGCCTTGGGTTTGCGCTGTAAACACAGCAACCGCTCACAGGTGTGATGACATTTATGATAAATATGAATTACGCTTTCGAATGTAGAAGTCTTTAGCTAGAGTCTGAACTGAACCAGATTCCACTTTCTGCTTAAAACCATGGTCATGATCTTGACAGGAAACAAACCTGCTGTGAGTTCTCCACAGCACCCAGCCCTTTGAAGAGGCGGTCCTGACAGCTGACCACACCAGGGAAGGCTTTGCTTACTTTAGTGCAACTCTCAGGGCAGAGCTGGATAAAGGAGCCAAGTGGTTGTAACCAAGATGGGAAGGCAATTAGGTGGCCAAGGCAGATGGCAACAGTGATTCTCAAATCACTCTTACCTTGACAACCATTTTCTTGGTTATAGTCCTTCAGGAATAGCTGAGACACCAAGGAGATGAACAATATCGTTTTGTACCAACAAGTTTCGCTTATCACATGAATCACTTGGTTTGGAGGCGGAATTTGAGTTTATGTCATTCATATAATGTGTAGCTCTTGTTTGCTTTAGGCTTTGAATCATGGATAAGGATTTAAATAGCTCAGGCACCATATACTGTTTGGCTTGAACTCATTCCTTGTGTCATTTCAGAGTGTCCCCTTATCAGCCTCACTGTGGTCTTAAAGCATCAAACAATAAACTTTGATACGGAGGCCAGACATTCCCTTAAAATGATGAATTGCAGCTTGATGCATATATACAAGGCTGTGTGCTCTGATAAGAACAGTAACCCCGTTAGCATCCTACAGACCGTCTTAATGACTTATGCATCAAATGGAGACACTGGTTTTTGTGGAAGCTCAAGAGTCATGTTACCTCGTTGGAGACTCCTGGAGAGGTGGTTCGAGTTGGACTCCTTCCAGGAGGGTTTAGTTACTCACACACTAAAAGACTTTATTTTCAGGCAGTTCTGGCTCTACTAAGGCAGGACTCCAGGAAGGTGCTCAGGCTTTCAGACCTGTCCTTCTCCCTTCATTCTATCAGTATTTCCATAACACCCTTCACCTTGGGACGCATGTTCTGACGTAGTGAAAGATGCTGTCTGCATTAATAAATTGATATGTTTTCCAGTTCAGAGTGTTTAAGTTTCACGACATACGGGCTTCTCGGTAGTGAAGACGTTACAGATTGTGGTTTTAGGTCCGTGGTGGGCTGTGCCTGCGGAGTAGCTGCTGAGCCTGCGGACTGCAGGTGCCATTCAGGCTGAGTTATAGCCTTAGAGCCCTATTTGTTCTTTGGAACATACTTGATTAATATTATCTATTGTTCTAAACCTAGAATATCTTTGTTGAAATGTCGCTGCTGTGTCTCCGTCTGATGACTTTCTACTTAAACCGTTACTGGATGGTGGGTGGCCCCCATCCCAAACACTCTCCGCTGCCCTCTCTTCTCCTCCCTCAATCCTGGGCAGGTGCTGTGCCAACACTGTAAGTTTGGAGCACTTACAGGGTTTTTTGGGGATGTGAAAGAGTTTACACAAAGATGGGTTTTATCTTTCCTTTTGTGGAAAGCAATTTACAAAAGTACACGTATTTATGATGGACAAATTCAGCCTTATAAGAACACGCCTTCCTGAAGAAAGACAGATGGGTATAAAATCAGCTTTTATTTTAAACTTGGTTTAAGTTGACTTTGGTTACTATGTGATAAAATAAGAGTATTTGACATGAGGTTTTCTACTCATTGTCTTTTTATCATTGCCATAGTCACTTAATCTTATTTCTCTTAATTATAAATGTAACTTCTTTAAAAACAGTGATTGAAGTACACGTGTTCTTATTAAGAAGTTATCACTGTTTATGGAAGAAAACTACAAAGAGATTACATTTCAGTGGGTATGGATTGCCTTTTAAAATAAACTCACATATTTCATAGACTGAAAAAAAAATGAGGCAATTCAAACTCAAAGCGAATATTTTCCTTTACTGAGCAAGAAAGTCAGAGAGTCTGAGAGTCTTTCCTACTATTCAAAAAAAAAATCTTCAAAAATAAAGAATTATGATTCTGACACATTTCTGAAATGCAAGGTGAGGCTAAAATATAAGGCTTTGGGAAGGATGGCATATAATTAAAGGCTGCAGATCACTCTGGGGGGGACATTCCCATAAAGCACATGGACCTGTGGGAAAGCATCATTTTTGGAAGGTTTGATAGCAAAGGACCATAATAACCTTTATCAAAAGGTACTTGTCTTGAAATGCCTAGCACCTAGACTCGTCTTGAAAGTAAAAAATGCTTGGATTACCTGATGTTTTTATTGAAAGGACAGTAGTGCGTCTGGAGAGAGGAGCTGCATGTGCGGCTGCTTTGAATTACATACTACTGTGGACACGTGACAGCCCTTAATGGACTTCTTACCAGACAGCCAATGTCCACAATCTCGGACATTTAAAAACCATAATTCCAGAACTTCTTCATTGGCTATGCTAATGGAAAGGAGCAAGTGAATGTATTACATAAAAATTAATTTAAAGTTAGCTTTGAAGTATAATTAGAAACACCCAAGGAGACCAAGAGACTATGAAGATTCAATAAAAAAAAAATCCCCTAAGCCGATAATCCACTCAAGGAGTGTTTGTACTTTAAAAATAGATACATAGTTAAGAATGAATTAGGAGGTTTGCATCCGTTCTGCCAAAGCAGTGGGAGTTGAGAAGTACTTAATTGAAGGGGTTCAGGTTTTCCTGAAACTTAGAGGCATACAAGTCAAATCTGCTTGTAAGCATTTTTATGTTACAGAATTTTGTATTCGGAAAAGGTATTCAAGCAAACAAATAGAATTTTTTCCTTTAAGGAAAGCAGATACGGCCATCATGCTGAACTTCTCTCTAAACATATCTTTCTAGTAGCCCAATCTAACTTTCTGGGAGAAAATTTCACAAAAAGAGGTTTTTGGAAGATGTTAACAGGTGTTAGAGAAAATTGGATTCCATGATGGAATAAGTTAGGGAAAGTAATCAGTTTTCTTAACTGTGGGATGTATCAGGGCCTTTAAATGCTAATGAGTGCCTTAAAAAGGATACTTTCTTTTGGAGGAAGCATTTTAGAGAATTATTTTTCTCAGATCCCTGGTTTAGAAAACACTGGTTTCATTCTTATTTAGTATCTATCTCAGTATGTTTACTTATATGATAAGTATGTTATACTTTTTGGACTTGGGTCCAATTGACATGGAACCATCTTCCTGTTTTTACATCATAAACCTTCTCTGAATATAATTTCAGAGTTTCCCTGTCACTGTATGTCATTTTCCCTGTATCTGTGTGAGTGCTATTTCATTGTTTTCTTCTATAGAATTGATATATATTGTTTCACAAGAGTGTTAATTATACTTTTAAGAGAAAAGCTACTTTGTGGGAAAATTCACTATAGATCATACATATCACTTTGTTAAAGTTTTAGAAGGGCACATTTACTCACGGCATCTATCAGATTCCTTACAGTATAATCTCCAATATATGTTGTATTTAGTAGCCATAATAAAAATAAAACATATTAAAGGGCGGTGCTGTGGCTCAAAGGAGTAGGGCGCCAGCCCCATATGCCAGAATTGGAGGGTTCAAACCCAGCCCCGGGCCAAAAACTGCAAAAAAAAAAAGTATTAAAAAGTCTCACAAAAATCATCGAGAAACTTGGTATGTGTTTTCTATCAGCTAGTCAGGATTTTTGTGCTGCAGTAGTAGAATCTTCTCCCACATGTTTGATAATTTTCTGTTCAATCTGAGTATCCTTGGATTCAGTTAGAGCCTTGCTAAATTTATTTTGGTGGGAGTGGTGGAAAAATGTTTGGTATCATAAGTCGTGTTAAACTGAGCTTTTCCCATGCCAAGTTTTGACTGAGGGAAAT